TGCATCTTTCCTAGCCATCGGCCATGGTGGGTGGATGAAAGACCCCAGCTAGGTTAGCTCGTTAAACAATTGCAATAAAGCCTCTTGCTGTTTGCATCAAGTTTCCACCTCTGCATGGTCGAGTTATCCTCACCCCTTCTGTACTTTAACTTTCTCCAAGTCCATTCTCCCATCTAACTCGCTATAAGTTCATCTATTTATCCAGTTACCATCCATCCACCCACAGGAAAAGTTGCATCAGGTAAAAAGCCTTTTCCTCATTTACTCAGCCCTGGACTTGAACTTGTAGGATACACAGGTTGAAGGGACCAGCTCCCCATTTCGGCACCCATAACAGTCAAACACATACTTGCCCTGACCTTGCCTTGGTCACTAGGAGGTCAGATGCCTGCCTCGTGGCAAGGAACCAATCAGAAGTTAGCTGGTGGTGCTATGCTTTATGGCTCTGGGTGTGCTTTTCGGACAAGTTCACAGCAATGACACGCAGAGCATAGCAACCACCCTGGGAGGGCCTATGGGCCATAACAACCAGTTGACCAATCAACACAGGGCAAGCCCTCCAAGCCTGGAGGCACACCAATCCTGAGCCTGTGCTTACCCCTAGACACTCCCCTTACACTGTTCTATAAGATCTCTATGCAGTGGCTTTGCTGCATCTTTCCTAGCCATCTGCCATGGTGGGTGGATGAAAGACCCCAGCTAGGTTAGCTCGTTAAACAACTGCAATCTAGCCTCTTGCTGTTTGCATCAAGTTTCCACCTCTGCATGGTGATTGGGGTGACCCTGGTCCTGGGCTGAGATCCTGGGGCCCTGAGCCTCCAGGGGTTTTCAAGGTAAATTAAAGTAGACAGATGTGAGGAACTCTCAGGTTTGCTGAAATATCTTTTCACTCCCTGAATTACATTTACTACTTGGTTTAGTCACTATAGCTCCTCTAAAGATCCTGGGGCCCTGAGCCTCCAGGGGTTTTCAAGGTGAATTAAAGTAGACAGATGTGAGGAACTTTCAGGTTTGCTGAAATATCTTTCCACTCCCTGAATTACATTTACTACTTGGTTTAGTCACTATAGCTCCTCTAAATAATATCAATTCCTAAAAACATTTATTAAAAGTGAAAATTAAGTTGGGTTGTACTTGCTTTATTGAATATTTCTATATGCCAAGTAGAGAGGAGAGGACAAATACATGGAAGGGAGGAGAAGATGAGTGTGACCCTCAAGTACACTCACTCACAATCAAATTGGTCCCACTTGAGTTTTTCGCAATACAATTAAAATAACTCATCAGATTACCTGAATCATAATGACCCATGAAAAACACTGGAAGTTTGTGAATGAACGAGAGGTAATCCACCAGAGCTGATGCCAGAAAGGGGTGACACACGTGATCTCCTCCAAGGCTGAGCTCCTCTTGGCCTTCTGTTCTCCCAAGAGTAGATCCAGTTCAATTCTCATTACTCTATATAAGAATGACTGGGCATACATATGGGCTAATTTTTCTGTGACTTGGTGCTGTCTCTCAGAAATCTCTTTGTATTTGTCGGCTTTAAGATAAAAGTGGATAAAGACAAGAAACAGACAATTTAACTGATTTTTCTGAGATGCTTTTCATGAATAAAACATAAATTGTGTATCAGTTTTTCTCTGAGACAGTCTAATGTACCCTAGAGTGGCCTCAAATTGTCTATGAAGTCAAGGGTGACCTTAGACTTCTTCAGGTCCTCTTGTTTCTGTCCCAAGGGCTGAAATTACAAGAATGCACCTTCATGTCCAGTTATGTGGTACTAGGAACTTGCTCCCTGTGGCCTGCTCTTCTTATAGAAGCCAGTACAACCAGCCCTACACACAATGGGCTGGGCCCTTTTTTGATCAGACACTAATTGAGAAAATGCCCTATAGGCTTGCCTATGGCCCAATCGCATGGAAGCATTACCTTAACACCAGTTTCCTCTTCTCAGGATTTGTGTCAAATTAGCTTGTGTCAAATTGATACAAAATTAGCCAATTTACCCTGTAACACCTGTACTTGGGATGTGAGTGAGAAGGGACACACATTCAAGGCCAATCCGGCTACAATAAGCAAACTATTTAAAACATTATAAAGAATAATAGGACAAACAATGAGTACATTTACTTTTATAAGTTAAATAAAAAACAGAAATCACAGAGAGCAATGACTATTATCTAATTTGAGGACACTGAATTAACATAAAAAGCTTGATTCTAATGAAGCACAATTGTGTTTTAATGAAATCAGTTAGGCAAAAATCTGACTCTAAAAGACTCACATACCTTTCTGGCCACCTTCTTCTGTGTCTAAAATAGCAGAGAAACCTCCATTAATGATGTCCAAGAAGAAGTCTACAGGGTTGAGGTGGGAATCATAATTGTAACCTACAAAGAAGGTAGGCCATGAACACAAACCTGAGGACCCTCTTTCAAAGAGTGGGAAAGGGGAGGGAAGACAAAATCTAACAACTTCCTCCTCTTGTCCCTCTTCCCAC